ATAAGTTTTATAGTTTTAGGTTTTACATTTGTCTGTCATTCATTTTCAGTTTATTTTTTAATGTTTCATGGTATATATCCAAGTCCATTGTTTTGTACATGGGTATCCAACTGTTCCAGCAACATTTGTTGTAAAGACTATCTTTTCTCCACAAATTGCCTTTGCCATTTAGGAAAAACTTGCCATATATGTGTAGGTCAATTTCTGGACTCTCTATTATGGTCCATTAATCCATATGCCTATCTTGTCACTGGTATCATACTGTCTTGATGAATGTAATTGTATAATAGGATGGCAAGTGAGAAAGAGTAAATTCTCTAACTTTGTTCTTATTCAATATTGTTTTGGCAAGTCTAGATCCTTTACATTTTCATATGGATTTCAGAATCAATTTTTTAGTTTATACAATTTAATTAATTTGTTAACCACATTGAGTCTTCCAATCTGTAAACAGATTATATCGTTCCATTTATTTAGGTCTAGGTATTTTATTTTATTTGTGGCTATTGTAAATGGTATTACTTTCTTTTTCAGATCGGTCACTCTTGGCATACAGAAATGCTACTGATTTTCATAGGTTGATTTGTAGCCTGTGACTTTACTGAATTTATTTATCAGTTCTAATAGTTTTGTGGTTGAGTCTTTAGGTTTTTCCAGATATAAGATCATATTATCTGCAAACAAGGATAATTTGACTTCTTCCCTTCCAATTTGGATGCCCTTTATTCCTTTCTCTTGTCTCATTGCTCTAGCTAGGATTTCCAATATTATATCAAATAACAGTGCTGACTGTATTGAATAACAGAGCTTTCCTGTCATGTTCCTGATCTTAAAGGAAAGGCTTTCTAGTTTCCCCATTTAATATGATACTAGCTGTAGGTCCATCGTATATGGTTTTGTATTATGTTGAGGTATGTTCCTCTTTTTTTTTTTTTTAATTTTTTATTGGATTATAGGTTTTGGGGTACATGAGCAGAGCATGCAAGACAGTTGCGTAGGTACACACATGGCAGTGTGCTTTGCTTTTCTTCTCCCCTTCACCCACATTTGGCATTTCTCCCCAGGCTATCCCTCCCCACCTCCCCCTCCCACTGGCCCTCCCCTTTTCCCCCCAATAGACCCCAGTGTTTAGTACTCCCCTTTCTGTGTCCATGTGTTCTCATTTTTCATCACCCACCTATGAGTGAGAATATGCGGTGTTTCATTTTCCTCTTATACTCAATCTTTTGAGGGTTTTTATAATGAATGGATGTTAAATTTTGTCAAATGCTTTTTCAGCCTCAAATGAAATGATCACATGGTTTTTGTCCTTCCTTTGGTTGACATGATATATCACAGTGATTGATTTGTGTATGTTGAACCATCTTTGCATCCCTAGGATAAATCCCACTTGGTCATGATAAATGATCTTTTTAATATATTGTTGAGTTCAGTTTGCAAGTATTTTGTTGAGTATATTTACATCAAAGATATTGGCCTGTAGTTTTCTTTTTTTCATGTGTTTTTGCCTAGCTGTTATCAGAGTAATACTGACCTCATAGAATGAGTTTGGAAGTAATCTCTCTCCTCCTCTATTTTTTAGAATAGTTGGAGTAAAATTGGTATTAGTTCTTCTTTAAATGCTTGGTAGAATTCAACCATGAGTTCATCAGGTCCTGGGTTTTTGCCTAGTAGGAGACTTTTTATTACAGCTTTGATCTCATTATTTGTTGTTGGTCTGCTCAGGTTTTGGATTTCTTCATAGTTCAATCCTGGTAGGTTGTATGTGTCTATCTATTTCCTTTAGATTTTCCAATTTATTGGCATATGGTTGCTCATAACCACTAATGATTTTTTTTGAAGTCCTGCAGTATCCATTGTAATGTTCCTTTTTCATCTCTAATTTTATTTATTTATTTCATCTCTAATTTTATTTATTCTCCCTTTTTCTTAGTCTGTCTGTCAATTTTGCTTATCTTTTCAAAAAACCAACTGTTTGTTTCATTGAGCTTTTATATTGTTTTCATTTCAAATTCACTTATTTCTGCTCTGATTTTTATTATTTCTTTACTTTGCATTCACTTTCTCTTGCTTTTCTAGCTTTTTAAGCTGAATCATTACTCTATTCATTTGAAGTTTTTCTTCTTTTTTGATGTAGGTACTTACAGCTATAAATTTCCCTCTAAGTACTGCTTTCACTGTGTCCTATAAGTTTTGGTATGTTGTGTTTTCGTTATCAATTGTTTCAAGAAATGTTTTAATTTTCTTCTTAATTTCTTCTTTGACCCACTGGTCATTCAAGAGCATATTGTTTAATTTCCATGTGTTCATATAGTTTCCAAAATTCCTATTTTTGGTTTCTAGTTTTATTCCATCATAGGCAGACTTCAAACTATGAAACTGCTACAAGAAAACACTGGGGAAACTCTTTAAGACACAGGTCTGGGCAAAAAATTCTTGAGTAATGTCCCATGAGCACAGATAATCAAAGCAAAAATGGAGAAATGGGATCACATCAAGTTAAAAAGCTTCTGCACAGCAAATGATACAATCAGCAAAGGAAGAGACAACCCACAGAATGGGAGAAAATATTTGCAAACTACCCATCTGACAAAGGATTAATAACCAGAATATATAAGGAGCTCAAACAATTCTACAGGAAAATATCTAAGAATCTGATTTAAAATGGGCAAAAGATCTAAATAGACATTTCTCAAAAGAAGACATACAAATGACAAATAGGCATCTGGAAATGTACCCAACATCACTGATCAAAACTGCAATAATATATCATCTCACCCAGTTAGAATGGCTTTTACCCAAAGACAGGAATAACATCTGCTGGAAAGGATGTACAGAAAAGGGAACTCTATCCCAATCCAGTCTATCATCAATGGGCATTTGGGTTGATTCCATACCATGGAATATTATGCAGCAATCAGAAATGATGAGTTCGTGTCGTTTGCAGGGACATGGATGAATCTGGAGAACATCATTCTCAGCAAACTGACACAAGAACAGAAAATGAAACACCGCATATTTTCACTCATAGGCGGGTGATGAAAAATGAGAACACATGGACACAGGGAGGGGAGTACTAAACACTGGGGTCTATTGGGGGGAAAAGGGGAGGGCCAGCTGGGGGGGAGCTGGGGAGGGATAGCCTGGGGAGAAATGCCAAATGTGGGTGAACGGGAAAAAGGAAGCAAAACACACTGCCATGTGTGTACCTATGCAACTGTCTTGCATGTTCTGCACATGTACCCCAAAACCTAAAATGCAATAAAAAATTAAAATAAAAAAAATAAAATGTTAAAATATTACAAACCAAAAAAAAAAGGGGGGAGCTCTTGTATGCTGTTGATAGAAATGTAAACTAGTACAAACACTATGGAGAACATAACAGTTTGGAGGTTCCTCAGAAAAACTAAAAATTGAGCTACCATGTGATCCAGCAATCCCACTGCTGGATATATACCCCCCAAAAAGGAAATCAGTATATCAAGAGGTATCTGCACTCCCATGTTTATTGCAGCACTGTTTACAATAGCCAAGACTTGGAAGCAACCTGAGTGTCCATCAACTGATGAATGGATAAATAAAATGTGGTTCATACACACAATGAAGAAATATGCAGACATAAAAAAATGAGATCCCATCATTTGCAACATCATAGATGAAACTGGAAGTCATTATGTTAAGTGAAATAAGCCAGGCACCGAAAGACAAACTGCATGTTCTCACTTATGTGTGGGATTTAAAAATCAAAATAATTTAACACATGGAGATAGAGTAGAAGAATGGTTACCAGAGGCTGGGAAGGGTATGAGGAGGTGCGGGGGAGATGAGGATGGTTAATAGGTACCCAAATAGCTCTGGAGTTTAATTAGGTCCCATTTGTCTATTTTGGCTTATGTTGCCAATGCTTTTGAAGTCCTTGCCTATGCCTGAATGAAGTCCTTGCCTATGCCTGAATGAAGTCCTTGCCTATGCCTATGTCCTGAATGGTTTTACCTAAGTTTTCTTCTGGGGTTTTTATGGTGTTAGGTCTTATGCTTAAGTCTTTAACCCATCTGGAGTTAATTTTAGTGTAAGGTGTCAGGAAGGGGTCCAGTTTCTGCTTTCTGCACACTGCTAGCTAGTTTTCCCAACACCATTTATTGAACAGGTAATCCCTTCCCCATTGCTTGTTTTTGTCACGTTTGTCAAAGATCAGATGGCTGTAGATGTGTGGCGTTGCCTCCAAGGCCTCTGCTCTGTTCCATGGATCTATATCTCTGTTTTGGTACATTGGTACCAAAATACCATGCTGTTTTGATTACTGTAGCCTTGTAATATAGTTTGAAATCAGGTAGCCTGATGCCTCTGGCTTTGTTCTTATGTAGAGTTCTTACAAGGTTTTATAATTGACCAATGCCTGCTTCTATGTACTTTGACATCATACATTTCCACATTTTAGTTTCCTTTTATTGTGTGTACATAACAAACTGAATTTGCTGAATTTGACATTACTTTAAATAGCTGGTATCTGAATTATTGTGGACATTCTATGTACACTATCAAGTCATCTATAAATAATGGCAATTTTATTTCTTCATTTCCTGAGCTTGTCTTACTGTGCTACTTAGGACTTTCAGTAAAATGTCAGAGAAAATTGGTAAAAAAAAAAAAAAAAAAAAAAAAAAAGGCACCAACATAAGTTGCAAAGAATGAATAATACCTAACATTTGGTAGCACAACAGGATAACTATAGTCAAAATAATTTAATTGTACAGTTTAAAATCAAAAAGACAGTAAGCCAAGACCACATACCATTGCAACCTGGGCAACAGAGCAAAAGCCTGTCTCAAAATTAATTAATTAATTGGTTAACTAAAAGAGTATAATTAGATTCTTCATAACACAAAAGATAAATGCCTGAGGGACTGGATACCCCACTTTCCATGATGCATGCCTGTATCAAAATATTGCATATATGCCATAATGATATACACCTACTATACACTCAGAAAAATTAAAAATGAATTTTTTTTAAAAAAAAAATGATGTTCAACTGCTCTCAATGGGCTGAATGAAAATGGCCTTTCTGAACGTCCATTTACATTTTTTTAAAAAAAGAATAGATATTGGATTTTATCTAATGCTTTTACTACATCTTTTGAGATGATCACATGGGAGCATTTACTTAGTCTGTTAATACAATAAATTACACTAAACTTCATCACTTGATTTTCAAATGTTGTACCCACCTTGCTTTCTGGAGACAAACTCCACTTGATCATGATGCTTCATCCTTTTTACCTATTGTTGCATTCAATTTGCTATTTTTGTATATTAGAGATGGCGTCTCACTATGTTGTCCAGGCTAAAGTGCAGTGGCTATTCACAGTGCTATCAGTTTCCCTCTAAGTACTACTTTAGCAGCATCTCAAAAATTTTGATGTATTGTGTTTTTCTTTTAATTCAGTCCAAAGCATTTTCTAATTTCCTTCTTTATGTATTCTTTGACCCATGGATTATTTAGAAATGTGTTATTTTGTTTCCAAATTCTGAAATTTTCCAGATATTTTTCTGTTACTAATTTCTAACTTATTTCTATCATGATAAGAGAAAGTACTTTATATGACTTGAAACTTCTTAAATGTACTGAGATTCATTTTAGTAGTCCAGACTATAGAATATCTTGCTAAATGTTCCTTGTGCTTTTAAAAAGAATTTGTATCTTGCCGTCGTTGGGAAAAGTTTCCTATAAATATCACTTGGGTCAGGTTGGCGGGTAGTGCTTTTCAAGTCTTCTGTAACCTAACTGATTTTCCATTTGTTCTATTAATCTCTGACTATAATTGAAATGTTAAAATCTCTCACTCTAATTATGAAGTTGTATATTTTTTTCTTACAGCTTTTTCTGTTTCTGTTTCTGTTTTTGTGTTGTTTTTTCCACATAGTTTAAGATAGTGTTATCTGGGTCACAAATATTTCAGATTGCTATGTCCTCACGTTGAATTAACTTCTTTAACAAATGAAATTGTATTATTTATCCTTGGGAAAATTCCTTGCTATAAAAATCCATTTTCTCTGATACCAAGGGCCATTTCAATTTTTTTTAATTAGTACTAATACGGCATGTCTTTTTCTATCCTTTTACTTTTTGTGCCTTTACATTTAAAGTTGAGGTGGAAGGATTGTAGGTAGTATACAGTTAACTCTTTCTTTTATATTAAATCTGACAATCTTCCTTTTAATAACAGTGTTTAGACCATTTGAATTTACAATGGTGATTGATATGCTGGTATTTAAATCTACAATCTTACTATTTGTTTTGCATTTGTCCTAGCCCTTTTTGTTTTGTTTTTTTCTGCTTTCTTATGAATTATTTGCCTAATTGTTGTTATTCTACTCTCTCATTTTTATTTAATGTTAGCTATGTTTTTGTTGTCTCATTTTATTGGTTGCTTAAGAGTTTGTAGTATACATCTTTAGCTTACCATAGTTTAACTTCATGTCATATATACCACAGAACATAGACTAAAAGAAACTCACAATAGTATATGTCTAGTTTTCCCCTCCCAGCCTTTGTGCTATTATCAAACAATTTAGTTCTAAACAGGTTTTAACCTCCAAAATATGTAATTATTACTTGTGATTTAAACAGTTGTTTGTGATTTAAAGAAATTTAAATAATAAGAGAAAAAAAATTTAGGTATGCATTTACCAGTTCTGGACCTTTTATATACATCTCATTTTCCATATGATATCATTCTGTTGTGCTTGAAAGTCTCTCTTTCAGGCTGGGCATGGTGGCTCACGCCTGTAATCCCAGCACTTTGGGAGGCCGAGGCAGGTGGATCACGAGGTTAAGAGATCGAGACCATCCTGGTCAACATGGTGAAACCCTGTCTCTACTAAAAATACAAAAAATTAGCTGGGCATGGTGGCATGTGCTACTCGGGAGGCTGAGGCAGGAGAATTGCCTGAACCCAGGAGGCGGAGGTTGCAGTGAGCCGAGATCACACCATTGCACTCCAGCCTGGGTAACAAGAGCGAAACTCCGTCTCAAAAAAAAAAAAAAAGAAAGAAAGAAAGAAAAGTCTTTCTTTCAATATTTGGGTTTTTGTTTGTTTGGTTTGGTTTGGTAGTGCCCGTCTTTTTATGATTAATCCTTTTAGTTTTTTTTAATATCTGAAAGCATATTTATTTCATCTTTGTTTTCAAATATAGGCAATCCTTATGTTACAGTTCAAATATAAATAGATTTCAGTTACCACTGTTTAGCTAAAGAATAGCAGAACCCCAATAACATGGTTTAAATTTCAGTTATCATTGATAGGAACTATGAGTTATTACATAAAGTACAAACTTTGCTACTGGCTCCTCAGACCTTTAATAAGTAAATGACAGTTAGTAAAGCATGTAGTTATGATGCCTTCTTGTCTCCCAGTGATAAATTTATTTAACTTTGCATAAAAATGAATACTCCCTGTCTCTACTAAAAATACAAAGATTAGCTGGATGTGGTGGAAAGCACCTGTAACCCCAGCTACTCAGGAGGCTGAGACAGGAGAATCACTTAAACCCAGTAGGCAGAGGTTGCAGTGAGCCAAGATTGCACCACTGCAGTCCAATCTGGGCAACAGAGCAAGACTACATCTCAAAAAAAAACAAAAACAAAACATGCAGGTCCAACAAAGAAACTGAAAGTAATAATGTTGGAATGATGGTATTCAAACAACATGAATAGAGTTAGCAAAGAACTAGCTGACTGCGGAAATGCTGACATTGCCACTGTTTGAAAGACTCTAGATATGCAGCAAGATGAGCTTAGTGAACGTGAACATGTTGACAAATGAATAAAGTGATTTTCATAAAAAAGAAAGATATCCAGGGGAAATGGTACCAAAAATTTTGTATCAAAGGAGCTCTTAAAGATATTTCAAACACTGAAGGAGCAACCAATAAAATATTAGAAGTTAATCTGAAATACAAGAAGTACCACAATTTACCAAGGCATAGAAAAGACATTCATTTCATGTATTAAGTTACATAACAAGAAGAAGTCAAGCACTTTTAAAACTATTCTTGGTAAGTTTTTTACAAAGAAATAAACACGTTAATTTTTAATGTTTTTAATGTTTCTGAATACAGTGATCCAATTAGATGTTAGTTTTACCTTTTTTTAATACATTTATAAGTGACATTAAGAGAGTTTTTAGTATTTTGGCAAAGATTCTTAACAGTCAGCTGGGCACAATAGTTCATACCTCTAATCCCAGCACTTTGGAAGGTGAGTCAAGCAGATTGCTTGAGCTTAGGAGTTTGAGACCAGCCTGAGCAACATGGCAAAATCCCATCTCTACAAAAAAACACAAAACTAGCCAGGTGTGGTGGTGCATGCTTACAGTCCCAGCTGCTCCGGAGGCTGAGGCAGGTCTTGAACCTGGAGGTCAAGACTGCAGTGAGCCAAGATCAGACCACTGCACTCCAGCCTGGGACTCTATATCCAATGTCTTGAGAATTATGGTTTCATATGTTTTATCCAATATTTCAGTTGTTTCAGTTAGGAAAGTAAATTCAGTCTCCAACTTAACCAGAAGTAGAAGTCAAAGAATCTATAACTTTTGTCTGGATTTGTCAAACAATACCTCAGTTCTTCACTTGTTTTAGAAACAAATTCCTCAGTCTTCATTATTCATTTTTTAGTATATCTTTTTTGTGATTAAAAAAAATTTAAAGGCCTATTTGTATGTAATATGTCCTAAGACCAAATAAAGCCCCAATTATAAAAGAAACTAAGAGAACACTGTAACAAGTGATACTTCTTTGCATATCAGATGTATCTCAAAAAGTTGCATGTAAACAGAACTTTATAAAATAAAATTTCAAATGTACAAGGAAACTGTTTGGAGACATCTCACTCTGTATCTCTAACTTATATTTCCCATAAATCCCAATAGAAAAGGATTTATGCATACCAAAGACCAAATGGAAACATTAAATATGCTACTTTAGACATCCCACCTTCATTACCAGCTTGTACCAGCAGTTTATCATTTGATGAAATTCTGGAGGGAAACTTACAAACCAATAAATATTTTTAATTTGTTTCCCAAACTTCTACAAATGGCATATGCCAGACTCAAATATGTGCACATTTCTGCAATATAATACTATATAAGGCAGTTACTATAAGTCTGTCACTTGGAATGAATCTATTTTTACTGACTAAACAAATGCATGAATAAATGAATAACTCTATCTAGATGGAAAGACCAAGCTGTGCTCATGGTGAGGAGAGGACGCTTAATACAGGAAAAATAATGTTAAAAAGATAAAAAGAACTCATAGAAACAGAAAGTAGAATAACAGTTGCCATGGGCTAGAGAAATGGGGCAATGAAGAGTTATTGTTTAATAGATACAGAGTTTCAATTTTACAAGATGAAAGGGTTCTGTGGATGCATTGTGGCATTGGTAACACAGCAATGACATAGAACTACACACACAAAAATAGCTAAGAAGGTAGATTTTATGCTATGCCTATTTTACCACAATTGAAATTTTTACATAAATAAACAAATAAATAAATAAAAAGAAAGTTTCTCTGAGATAGGTATCATCAGAGCTGAGAGTATCTTTTAATATATGCAGAATTAACAAGACCTTACAAAGTTTAACAACAACAAAAATCACTTTTTAAATAATAAACTTGTTTTCTCTAAGCTTCTGGTTAATAAAATATTTTTTAATGTAGGGAATTTTGACTGTGATGATGGTCACGGTGATAGTGGTGGTGGTGTTAATCTTGAAAATTACAATAAGTGATACTTCTTTTCATATCAGGTATATCTTGAAAAGTCGCATGTAAATAGGATTTTATAAAATAAAATTTCAAATGTACAAGGAAAACTATTTAGAGATCCCACTTTATCTCTAACTTATATTTCCCATAAGTCCCAATGTTTTCATATCTGTTTTAAAGAGTTATTCCTTACCTATTGCTGTTATTACTACTGACATCCTTATAGAATGTGTCTTATTATCATCTGTTTATGGGTCGAGATAAAATGAATAGGCAATCCCCAAATAGGATATATATCTGT